TAAAAATTTTGGGTCCCTGCCGTGAGGTGAGGCTACGCAGAGGCGGGACTCGAGGCGAGAGGAGCCTCCCTTCTCTGGTCAGACTCTTTGAGGTCTGCTGCCAGTTTTTTTTCCAAACTTTAGAAAGGAGAAGGCTCCGCGCCCCGGCACGACTCGGCAACGCTTCCCACCAATGCTACTGCACGACCTGGGGTTCTAATTGGAAAAGCACACGGTCACGTCTTGTGAATTGGTGCCGAGGCAAAGGGAGGGTGGGAGTGGGAGGTGGAGTAGGACTGCTAGTGACATTTGACTTCCTGTGCTTAGACTCCTTGAAACCCTCATTTACTCCCTCACAGCCTGCGCCTTCACACCAGCGCTGTTTTATTGTTTTATAGCCCTCCTTACAGCTTCGGTTATCAAAGATTTCCTTGCGGCAGGCTTCGCCACTTCTCACTTGAGAAAGCCCGGTGCCTTGCTGTTTTAAGCAGTTTGGCCACTTGCGAACGCCCTTCAAACATCTCCTACAAGCCCCATGCATGTGTTAGGAGACTTTCGTCTTCTGGCACCAATCCACCGAGAAACAGTTTAGCAGATGAATTAGTGAAAACCGTTTTCCATGGGCTTTTGACCAAAATGCCCTAAACTTCCGGTTAAAGGGGTGGGGAATCCCCTAAATGAACCACGTCTCTGTTCCCCTTACGATTTGCTTCCCCATGCCTACGTGCAACATACGTATTCAAATAAAGATTTGAATTGGTACTCACAGAGAAATGCACACACGCTCCGACGCCCCAAAGCAATTTTGGAGAGCTAGCTCCACTTTTCAGTAGAGCCCCGTGCAATATGCTATTTTAAAGGCCGTCATAGGGACGCAACTGTGACCTTACATGCTGCCTTGATATTTTGAACTATTTACGTTTTATAGAACAGTTTCAGCGAACCTTTATTTAGTGAATAAAAGTTTAAAGCTGAACGTTATTTATGGTTCCACAGAGATAGGCCCTGAGTGGCTATTTAGAAGCACGTGATTCCAATAAACTTTGTTTTATGGCTTGAGAGTTGACAAGCCAAAATATAATTCCCACCATAAATTAGTTTAAGAGCATACAAGTGCAGATGCCTCAGTTCCTGGAAGCAGTAATACGGAAAGTAGTAGCAAGGAACATTCAGCTTGAATGCGAACATCGAGACATTTCTTCTTTCAGGCCCCCCACTTCTACTGGAAAAGCACACAGTAAGTCCGTTATTACTCTTCATACAGTCATATACGTGATCCACAGGCTCTGCTGTCTTTGTGCCTCCTGCAACTACAAGCAGCCCTGACATATTATAAGGATTGAATCAGATTGACTGTAAACATGGACGGGGACAGATTCAGTAGCTGGGATTAGGCAGAGACTGGAATTAGGTTGCTTTTCCATGTTTGAAATGTCTGAATATAATATAGCGTTTCCTTCTGAAATTAACCCTCTTCTAGCCCGGGAAACTGTTATTTGATGCTTAACTGCTGAGATTCACTATTCTTGCACATTCTAGTTGTTGTCCTTGAATAAAACCGAATAGGGTAGGGAGGGAAAGGCTCTGATCACTATGTCTAGTGAACTATCACTTCCTAGTCAATTGCTTTATATATTAAGAGAAAATTCTCCAAGATGGGATAGCCATGCAATGGGTGATGCAAAATAACCATTAACAATAAAACCATACTGACATTTTCTCTTTAAACATCTGTTTTAATGAGGCTCAGTCTGCATGAAAGCAAATTTTGTTTTAAATTGCCGTTTAACTCTAGTTACAAAGAAAAGTGAAGGTAAATTCTAGTAAAAAATACTCTCTACTAATTCTGACAAAGACACTAATGAGTCCTGGTTGATGTTTGTATAGTTACTGGCAGTCGTAAAGGGTATTAATATTGGAGTAACTGCTGTCCTATTGAAATATAAATAGAATTAAAGTTCTTTCTAGACTCAGAAAGGATATGATGTTTTGTGACGTGTTGCCACTCGTTATGGGTTATGAGTTATCAAAAATGGAGCTGAATATCTCATTTGGATGTGAGTGAATTACAAAAGAAAATAGGCCTGTGTTATTCTTTCTCAAATGGTGAAAGTGGAGGGTTTCCTCTCACTTCTCTGAAATAAAAAGTATACCATATGAACAGTAAAAGTGAAACCAACACACGTCAGCCACTGGGGAAAGAAGTTCCATAAAAATCTGATTGAATATTATTCTTTATTCGAAATGGAATTCCTGTTCTCCTGTCCTCAGAATTTGCTATCACCTTTTCTGCCTATTTACATGTATGCATTTCATATGTTTCCACAAATGTTGTGAATAAATATTATGTATCTGTGAAATATAACAATAACAAACGTTTCTATTGCGACAGGTTCGACACAATGGATAGACGTCCACAGTAAGTAACTCCCAATTTTTTACAAAATTAGCACTGCGTGAAAACAGATTCTTACCCTCAGCCTGGAAAAGTCAGAGAAGATATGCCATTTTTACGTCACTGCGCAGTTGTTTTATTTGTACATACTTTTGGGGCTGCAAATTATTTAAGCCTGTCCTCGTGCATGTTATGATCACATATCATATTAAAAGCTGATGTACAGTTTCTTTCAAGCTAATTACAGTGCAGCACTGGGGCTAGGTGTCAGATTATGCTGCTCTTAAGTAATATAAACTAATTAGCAGTAATACCATTTTAACTTGCTAGAGCTATACAGCGCCTCCCTGTGCAAATACTGAATTGATCATGTTATACCACGGTTGCTCGTAAGGTTGGCTATTTCTCTTTTTCCAGAAAGGGCTCAAAAGACAGTTGCGTGTGTTATCTCATTTTAAACTCGTTTGGAATGGCATAATGAATGAAGGAACAATGGCATGTGTATGTTGTTAGCAGTAGTGAGTTTGCCTAGTGATGTAATTGTATTATTCTAAGTAATATCACGGACCCACTGATTCAATTAAGTCTTTTTTGAGCTAGTGAAAACATGGCATTTATTGAAATGATCCGAGGAAGTGGAAAAGAACTAATGTTTGAGGTTAGCGAAGGCAGCTACTGATTTTCGAATCTCTTGATCGTCCAAAATGAAATTTAAGGGAATATTGGCTCTGTGGCGAAGACAATTGAATATACAGTGGAAAACCCTTGATTATGACGCATTAGGACTGGGAAAATGGCAAATATCGTAGTTAAATGCATTTTAACTTCCTGTCTCCGAGGAAAGGTTGACCTGTTTTTTTTAAAGGGAAAATGAAAGTTAAAGATTCCTGAGGATTCATTCTACTTACATTTCCTACCATTTCTGCAAAGCATGAACTGGCTGTTTAATGTGCAGGATGGGCACTGTGCTTATTTATATTTTTCTCCGCTTCCTTTTCATGCATTCTTACCAACGACCTCTTTTGCTTGTTAAACCCAGGCGGATGGTGCTGATGTTGTTTTTATATTCCAGTATTAGTTTTCGAACCCTGCCTGACCGAATTAAACAATTGTCTCTGTTGCAGGGTTTTAAATTCCCTTCCATAGGTAACTTCTCTTCTATAGCTCAGCGCTCAGTTTCATGAATGTTCTTCTTCCCCTGTAACTCTGTGGCCGACCCTAACTCTGTGGATTACTTTCTTTTCCCAAACCTACATTTAGCATACTGATTATGAACCAGAATACAAGAAAAAAAAAGGCTGATAGATCAAAAGCGTTTGTATGGGCAGTTGAACAGGAGGTGAATATTTAACGCTTTTGTTCATCAATAACTCTTTGGCTTTGACCTGTCTGAGTAAGTCGTGCAATAAGGTGAAACGCGGGTCACAGCGTCTAACAAATATGAAAATGGGCAGTATTTAACAGAATATGAAGGGGGGGGGGACTATTTCAACATTATCGATCCCTTCTGTTCAACTCTACACAGGATTTTCGAACGCCAAGACTTTGTGCTGAGCTGTGAACCAAATTTTGTAGCGTTGGCTTGGAGAGCATTGAGCGTTTCGTAGCTAAACTCTATTCATAAAAAGAGCAAGCAAAGGGGCTATTTTAAAATATGGAAATGCACCTATCAGCCATCCAGAACGATTTTGCTCAGAACATCGTCTGGCGTTGCACTTGCTATCGAGTCTCCATCCCCGCCATAATTAGAAAGCAGATGTTTAAAAGGAGCTTTTCGGACTCCGTCCAAAGGAGATGTTAAATGCAGCCTCAAAAGAAACCTCACGTTGATAATCCTAATACCCCGAAACAGGCTCTTGTTGGTCCTGAAGTTCCTTGTGTGAAATAGTCGAAGGAGAAGAGGTTGACCACAGGACAGCACTGAGGAGCTGGGTCAGACACAATTCGTGAACTTTTGTGCTCCTGTGTGCTGCTGTCCACGAAGTAAAAATAATGAAACGTTGGGCTATGTTTGTAAATGATTTAGAATGACCTCTCGCCCTGTCCTTCACCATAAACGCTACCGCACGGAAAACCTGAAGAGAGTAGCTAAGCGGAGCTATTTGATGATAGGCTCACATTTAGCTAACAGGAATAGTAGAGACAGCAAAGTGTTATACAGATCAATTTGGAAACTATTTTAATAAAGCAAAAAACTTTATAATGTAAAACTCTTTCCACCAATCTCTTTCTCTTTATGTATGTGTGTGTTTGTGTTGCTTCCTGTTTTATTTGTTTCGATTAAAAGAGATTTTTTTGAAAAAAATGTTCAAAATAGGTAAAATTTCTTCAAATCCATAACGTAAATGTATATTTCCTCGTTATTTTTAATTTTAATTTTTAAACTAATTTAATTTGGTTAGTAACATCCATTGACTTTAGTGGAGATTTAAATGACAGAACATCTAAAGTAATAATCAGATCTTACTAATAACTTGTAATAATGTTAGTGGAAATTCGTCGCTATAAATTCTTACCAGGTTCCATTTCATCAATAATAACATACCTGAATCTTTTTGAAATCACACCCTTCATCAAATCCATATTTCAGAATTTTAGCACGACAGAATAAGTTTGTATTCCTCAGAAGACAGTAAGGAATAAGAAAATTGCAATGATCCTGACTATTATATTGTAGATGAAAACAGAATGTTATTACGTTGTCTATATATACCCTGTAGAACCGAATTTGTGTGGTATTCACATAGTCACAGATTCGATTCTAGGGGAATATATGGTCGATGCAAAAACTTCACCTTTCTGCAAATGGTTAGAATTTTAAATATTGAATGTATCAAAAGACATGTGCATGCTGAATATTGGGACACTCTAAAAGTTTTGCTGCCTCTATCATATTTACTACGCCGAACAATGCTTACTATCTATTTGTGTTGTTCAATGGTAACTATTACTAGTAGTCTGCTAATTTTAAAAAGTTAATCACATGATCAGTACAATTTTTTTGAAAAATACCAATTATCTAGTGAATCTTTTAAAAGACACTTTAAAAGTTAGTTTGATATGCCAGATGTTAGCAAAAATTTTATATCCAGTATACAGATTGAATCCAAATATTTATGACACTAGCAACGGTAGGATTCGCAACCCTGAAAGGTATTTACTTGTATCCCAAGAACGCTATTGATGAATGAAGACTGCGTTTATCTAATTACATCTGAGAATTTTGTACATAAAGTTAAATGCCATCTCCAGATCAATTGATTAGACTTTAGTGATTAAAAATGAATGTTTCCTTGCTATCTGCATGATTATTTTTATATTGAGACTTGCAAAGTGAACTGGAAGTTACTGATTGCCTAATTTTATTCAACAGAACTAGATTCTGGTAACTTTTGGATGACCTCTGCAAGACAAAGACAGGACAGATCTATTGTACATCATATTACCCTCTTCTTTGATGTCTTTTCTTTTTTCTTCTTTCCTTATCAATTTCTTTCCTCTTAATGCTCCTTGAGATTCTCGGTCTTTATTTCTTTCGATATTTTTTTGACAAATGTAACAAACCATGTTTGAAATTATTGCTGGTGAATTAGACTAAAGGGCATCAAAGGTTAGAAAAGTCAATTCACACAAAAAGCTTGGTTTACCTGAGGGTCAATGAAGCGAACAGCATTTGATGAATATTCTTAACCTATTAATACCTGCTTTTGAAAATAAACTATATTGAATTTTGGTCACTTGATTACATGTATATTATTTAGTTAAATTGGTGAAAATTATGAGATGCACACAAATCCGGTGATAAACTCCCTGCCTCCCTATTGGCTGAGCCAGTCACATGGCTGCCTAACTTTATTCAGTTGACAGCAAGTAGGAGGGCTCTATGGAAGGAGAAAAAAAGACAACACGAGAAAAATTAGTATTTTCTACCTTCAGAAATTAATGGCCATGAGTTCGTATATGGTGAACTCTAAGTATGTGGATCCCAAATTTCCTCCTTGCGAGGAATATTTACAGAATAGCTACTTAGCTGAGCAGGGCTCCGACTATTACACCGCATCGCAGGGCTCTGATTTTCAGCATCAGGGAATCTATCCACGGTCAAACTACAGCGAGCAGCCCTTTAGCTGTAGCAATGCCCAAGACTCTGCAGTGCAGCCGCGGGGTCATGGACAGGAGCAATCCGGCCCACCGAGCCACTTCCCCGGTCAAGCAGAGCATTGTCTACCGCCTCCAGTAGCCAACTCACGAGCCTGCAGCCAGCAGCAAAACCTCAAAACCCCAAACGGGTCAGCAATTAAGCAGCCAGCAGTAGTTTATCCCTGGATGAAGAAAGTCCATGTTAACTCGGGTAAGGATTCTCTTCTTGCTTTGCTCTTCTATTCTGATTAAGCAAATCCAGTTAGATCTTTGCTAAAGTCCTTCCAAGAGATGAGCTTTTTAAAACTGAGGTAGCCAATTGCACTCGTCGTAAATTTTTATTGCAGAGGAAATAGGCCGTTGGCCATGTGGCTCTTGTCTGTGCAGGAGAAAACTCCATTTTAGGAGCATGATAGAGATTTCCAGAGTATCTGTGTCCATAAAGGAGGAGGAAACATGCACGTCTGTTGTAAGGAAATGTGATCACACATAACAGCCACATGGTAGCCTGTAAGGTTTATTTTGTGAAGTTGTAACTAGAAAGCCAAGATTAGATTTTTAAAGTTTACGTATTTTTTTCTCAGTGAATCCCAATTACACCGGAGGCGAACCTAAACGCTCCAGAACAGCCTACACAAGGCAGCAAGTCCTAGAACTGGAAAAAGAATTTCATTTTAACAGGTATCTGACTAGGCGTCGTCGTATTGAAATAGCCCACACTTTGTGTCTCTCTGAACGCCAGATCAAGATCTGGTTTCAGAACAGAAGAATGAAGTGGAAAAAAGATCACAAACTGCCCAACACTAAGGGTAGGTCTTCTTCATCTGGTTCAAACCAACATTTACAGACTGTTTCCAAGGACCATCAGACTGACTTGACAACTTTATAGAAGAGGGGAAATTTTCCATTTCTTCCTTTGATTCGGAACAGTACTGTACATAAGTGACATTATCCAAGCAGAACCTGCATGTAGCAGCTAAAGACTCAAGAGCGTCATCTTGCTTTAAGGTACTGTTGTACAAAGGAGACAAAATGACAGTACTTTGGACTTTATTTGAATTACCTACATTAGCACAACGTAAAAACTCTTCTTGCAAATATTGGGAAGTGAGAAAATATTAAGTGAGATCTCCTGACCATAGAAATTAACAAATAATGGAAAATGAAAGTTGTTCAGTTTTGAATTTTAAAGTTGAGATTTGATGCTTTATTCCGGTATTTTGTTTTTGTTGTCTTTCCTGCCCCCATACAATTTCGGGGTTATGCATTTGGACAAATTCAGGACAGAAAGCTAAGGCTTTTTCTTTTATTTAAACTAGGGAGACTAGTATTTGTGAACTTTTTCTGCTGCTTTACATTTCCTGGTGTGATGAAAACACATGCTCCTTTCCATAACACCTCAGAACAAATGCTTAGAAATGAAGTGAAAACGGGTTATTTTTTTCTGTTTATATTAGCGTATTTATTTATTGTTAGTTAGAAAGAGTAAAGAAAAAAGAAAAGAAAAGAAAAAATAGTCAAACCAAAAATGCTAAAGAGGAGAGGTGAAATTCAGTATTCCTTCTTTTCTGTATCCTTATGCATAATGATCAATTAACCTTAACATACAGAACTTTTCTGTGTCTTTTTCTGATTTCCTTTTGTGTAAAATATGAAAGCGTTCCTAAACCTACAAAATGTATCAGCAAGAAGATACATTCTTTATACTGTATTTTAAATGTTTGCTTTATTTGGCGCTCTACTTTGAACCAGCGTTTCCTAATTTAAGAAAGAAAAACAAACAGAAAACTGTAAAAAATAAATAAACATCCAGAGTGAAAAATCAAAGCGATTTGTGGCATCATTTAAGCCATCATGTCTTCACAATAGATGACTTTCTCTTTGTTCCATGTCTTATTTTTAATTCAAGTATTGTTTTTAAGAAAGACAGTAAAAATGATTTTGGGAGAGCTCTTCGTTAATAAGAAGAAAAGTGAGTTCGAATTGAGCGCTTAGTAATGAAAGAAAGTTAATTATAGAAAGAATGTAATGTTATAGAATAGCTGGGCAAGTCCAATGTACTTCGATTTGTTCGGGGATGTCTTTTGCACCAATGAAAAGTTGTTGCGCAATGAGCCTTTCTTATTTCTTCGCTAAATGCTAATAAACTGAGCAAACACAACTTGCTCTCTTAACTTACACCGTAATGTAGACGGATTTAAAGATCAGTCCTTTGCTCTCGCATTCTGAAAATAGTCAAGAGGATGTACCAGTGCACTAGCTCGTTTAACTAGTTATTACTGCTATTGTAACCTAAATTCTTACATCCATACAAAAAAATAGAAAATAACAATATCTGTTCCCAAATGTATTCTAGTTGGACTATTTTGACAATAAACTAGTGTCTGGCCATTTTATTTGAGAAAACGCTAAGAACAATGTTTTAATATTAGGTTGGGAATAAAAAAGGCAAGAACTTCAAAAATCATTTAGTTAGCAAAATTATCCGTGGTCAGGGTTTAATTTCTGCCCTTTACTCATCCCTAGAACTCAGTAAAGTATCTCAGAAGACTTGGTCTTTTGTATTAGCTCCTGGAGACAATTCTTTGTTCTTCCTTAGGGTTAGCCTAGTTCTCAGACTTGCACATGGCCATACTTGAATCTCCACGTCGTGATATTAAAGATGGATATTCCTGCATTATTCGCGTCATTGTCTCTAATACAAAAAGCACAGAGTTCATACATAGTAAAGGCGTCTTTTCTCTGACGCTTTCACGTTGAGAAGCTGAAAAGGTATTTTACTGAAGTTCGGCTAAATTGCAGAAACAGGTTCATCCAAAGGACAAATTTTCTATTCGATTAGCTGTATTTCAGCCGGGAAGAATGACCTCTAAACCCTTAACCTTTTGGACCCTAACCCCTCTTCCTTTTTTCTAACGTGGAGAGCAGTGAAATGCAGCATTTGGAAGGGGTTTTCCTGAGACAAGTTTCGAAGTTGTTGGAATTAATTCTTTTTAAAATCAGCGTTAAATCTGCACGGCTGCCACTAATAAAGTATTTGCTGAAGAAATTAATCTAAAGAAAGAAGCTCTGGTTAGTCGGATTCAAGATGAATCCCGCTATTGTTTACCTAATGTCTGTGCTGAGCTAATAGTGAATCATGTGGATATGTTAATTTTTTGGGGGGGGGGAGACACAACTTTGACTTCCGTTGTGTAATATTCTTTAAAGTAACTTGCTCCGAGAAACACAGCCCTCATTTTTGTGTTTTTAAGTTGAGATGGATCCCTGAAGTGAAAGAGCCAAATTCTGCTCTCAGATGGGTCTTCCACCCTCCACAGTTGAAATCTACTGAAGTAACACAAGGGTATATCTGAGAATAGAAGTTGGCCCATTGTCTTTTGAAATGTTAATATCTTCTGGACCAATGTTTGATTCAGACTCAGCTCTTGAAACCCTATTTGCCAGTCCAGCCTGGGCAGGACTGGGGGAGTTTAAATTTACTTGGCTACAAACACATGAATACATTCTGCAAATACTTGAACTGAAGCACGAGCGTACCAAAATGTATTCTTTACACTGCCAGTGTTGTGAAGGTTCCGGAATGTACATTTTGTGTCACGATGAACAAAAACACTAATTTGCTAGTAGCCCCCATTTTACTCCAGAGAAAAGTCAGAAGTGTTGTAACTCTACTGAAAGGTTATGTTATATAGTTTATGAAGTAAAGATGTCCCTTTATGCTTATCACGTTGTGTAGCCTTTTGTTATAAGATTGCATTGTCCAACAATACTATATCTGTCAGCCTGTGATGCTTTTTATAGACTTTATCAGTGTTTTGCTGCCATTGATTAAAGTATTATTTATACTAACGGTCTCTTGTAGTTTTGATACAAGTCCTCCATAATAGATCTGGAATAACAAAAGGTAGAGAAACTCATTCTGTTTTGTACCTTGACCAAATTGCTCATATCACGTGGATCTCTATCCTCCAATCAGGCAGGCCCTTTCCTTCATAACATTATAAAAGCATGGAAGCTTACGTTTAATCCCGAAGTATATATCCATCCATGTGTCTCTTTGAACCGCTTTTCTAATGACATTGGCTAGGATGGTGTGACTCTGGGACAAACCGAAGATTGTATTTACATTCGGGCCGCAGTTAAAGTGCCCCTCAGCCATTTGTTAATGTTTTACATTTAACAAGCCACTCTTCAATGGCTCACGGATGCTAGGATGCTTGATAAGTATCAAGGAGCCACACCTGAAGTTGCCTCTTAACCTCACACAAGTGGCGTGTGCTTTAGGTGGGCGGTGAAAGGTTTTAATGTGACTTTAAAAATTGGAGAGGAATGGGTTCGGTTTTTTAATTAGGTTTATTTATTTCAGCTGATCTCAGTCAGACACAAATCAAAGACAAACCTCGAATTTTGAACTTTCCTGTAGACTTGTAGCAGACACCTCCTTTCATTTTTTATATAAGCACCTGAAACAACAAACACAACAACAACGTCTTCCTAGAAGAGGTCGATTGCACTATTTTTAGCCCAGATGTATGTCACATATGACAGCGTTTCTTGAAGAGTGGCCAAGGCATGAGTCCAAAAATAGATTATTCTTCTTCCAACGTGAAATGTACATAACGCAGTAAATACGACTTGCACCCGGAATACAAGGGAATGCAGGGGGAAGATGTGCTTGCATGTGTACTTTTAAGTGCACAGACATTAAGTTTAGATATTGAAACCCATTTTATGATCCCACTTTGACCGCCTTGTATCTAATGGCTCCTCCTGTTACTACCAATACATCAATACAATTCTGTATATTATATCACCACTAGTCGTTAAGGTAAGAATGAGGAGGAAAGGCAGAGTCAATAGCAAACACCACTCACTGTACAGTACAGTAAATAGGGACCTTTCAGTGCAGAGCCACACAGCTTCCAACGGCCATGTTTGTTATCCCTTTCCCCTGATTTTTGTAACAGTCCAGACTAAACCGATCTTGCTAGGAATAGTCATAACAGGCAGAATTCAAAGTGCAAGGAAGATGATAAGAATAGATTTCTAGAAGTCCTGACCACGTGATTTGCGAAATAATTAATTCAGCACGTCCCTTAAGAAACACGGAGTCGTCATTAATCTGCCAAGCAAAGGACTCTATCAGACTTGAAAACTGAAGAGATCCCAAGAATATAATATACAAAGGGTGTAGGCTATTTCCCTGCACACCTATATCTTGGGTAGCAGCCGAAAAACAGACGCTTGGTATGTAAACATTTTACTTTTATTCCTTCATATTTAAATTCTGAATGCACTTAGCTGTCAAATGCTTGACAAATAGGACCCTTTGCTTCCTGATTTGGAACCATGCAATAGTCAGAAGTTGGTCTAGGCTTGTGTGGTGACCTTAGATGCAGGGGAAAAGATTTACACTTTATGAAAAATTATGATGTTGGGCAAAGGCTCCCTTTGTTTATGTGTGTGCGCGGACAGGTTCTACCTAGAGGTAACAGGAAGGCAAAAGACAAGGCAAGGGTTTGCTGAGAGCTGTATGTGTGGTGAAATGGGAGTAGATTTACTGGTTGCTTATGTCTTACTGGGAACAATACTGGCTGTCAGGGCATCTGCTGCCCATTCTTAAAATGGTGAGAAAAGGGCCTGAACTTCTTTTCAAGCAAGGGTCGTAAATTTTTCCTTGCGTCATAATAGAAGGCTATAGAACGGAGTTGAAATTTTACCCAAATGCAGGTTTTTAAGCAGCAGATAATGAATTCCGAGCTTGCTTCTCGCCCCCTCCCAAGACATTATTGCTACCCTTCCACAAAGGGAAGGATTTATTGTTAATTTTATTTTTATTTTTCTAGGATAAATGCCCATTTTTGACCTGGTCCTTTTCGGTTTCTCTCTGAAATGATGAGCAAAGCATTGCGGTGTGTGTGTGTGTGTTTGTGTGAGTGGTGGGAGAGCGGGGGAGGGGGTGTCTAAAATAGAAAAAGCCTAGGAAAAGCCCCCCAGTCTTCGGGTCAATTTGCGGGAGACTTACACTCTTGCAACTCCGGGGCCAGCGGAGCACGCTGATACAAAAATGAGGATTGCAGCTTGTATATAGAAACCACGTTTTCCCCTGCTATAAAACACAGACCGCACGGCTGAGAATTCTCTATTAACCCCCATAGCCAGTTGAAACTACTGCATGCGAACAGGATACTCTTTATTATCCCTCGCTGGAGTCATTTCTAAACACCCAGATTATAGCTTCCGTTTCGGAGGCAGGGCAGAGGCAAAGTTTCCTCTGTTATGAATTATACATTCAAACAATAACACATTAATTCAATTATTCAAAGATGACAAACGGGGATGAGCCTTGGTAGTGACTAAAACCCAGAATCGCTGCTTCCCTATAACTCCTCTTGTTTTCATCAATGAAGTTTATATTTTTCTCTTTGCCCAGAGAGAGCCCAAACTCCACAAACACACGCGGTAAAATGGCCCCGAACAGAAGTTGAACAGCTTTAATAATAACGTTTATTCCTGCATTTAGCCTGGGATATTTGATCAGTTTGACAATTGCCGGAGTTGTTGTTATAAATCATCGTAAGTAATTCCTGAAAGGGTGCGAGGCTGCTGAGGGGCGGGCGAAGACTGTAAATCTTTCTGTTTTATTGCTCTATGAACATATGCTCCAACTGGAGAAGTCTTCAGATCCTTTACTGGAGACAAATTCACTCAGAGCTTCAGTCTTCCTATCGCTGGAGTTTCACACTTCTTTATTGCTTTTTCGGGCCCCGTGCAAACTCTTAATTTTTGCTGCAGTTGTTGGTTTCTTGGTGCCGTATACCCTAAATGAACCCCGCGGTGGCGTGTGACTTTTGCTAAGAGAGATTTACAAATTACGCATTAAAAGGGAGATTTTTCTTCTTATTCCCTCCTCTTGATCTTTCCTTGATTAATGGCGCACTTTGCACTTTCACTTTTGTGTAACGAGCAAACGAGACTTTCGTCATTAGAAAATGTGCAAACACTATTCCGAACTTACGTATGTATGTATGTAAAGACACAGGCACACACATACATACCTCTGACTCAATACAGCTAGATTTTAGACAGAGACACTGATAGAGAAACGTATGTCTAACAGGAAATTATTCGAAGAACAATTGCCTTTTACTTGATGCAAGATTCAGGTACATCATTTCCAACGAATACAACATTATAAATGCGGAGTCGAAAACAATCGTTTACCTTGAACGCGTGCTTCAGTAAGAGGACTGCAATCTTTTTATAACTTGTTTGCAAAGTCAGGAAAAGCAGAGTAATTTAGATAAATGTTACAATACACTTATAGACAGTATTGTAAGGTAATACGTTACTGTCAGATCTCCATGCTTTGGATGGTAATGAAATCTTAGCAGATCCTAGATTAGGTGTGGTTTATTTATATCTACAGACACCTTAGGTAATCAAACAAAGGAGTTAAAATACATTTTTACAGAATTTGATTTCAGAACATTTGTATACACTCATTAAATACAGGACGTGTTCTCCATATAGTGCCTTTTCTATCCATGTGTGTATATACACAGACATATGTATATGTATGTACATACACCCTCCCCCCCAATCAGAATCAGTGCACAAACAGAAAAGTAAGACGATTTTTCTAAGGCTTCTTTAATCTTCCGAACTGAAATATTCGACTTTACCTAAATGTTTCCCCCTATAGAGAAGGAGAAAACAGAAATTAGTGCATACTAATAAAACCTAGAACATTTCAGACAGCTTTGCAGTATGCATTTGTGGGCCAGAGTTTTTATTAAACCGTCTTTTCGGTTACAGAAAATCCAAATTTCTTTTCATCTTCTATAGGCAATGTTGATTTAACGAGTCGTTTGATCAGCAACGACTGAAGAAACTACCATTCAAATTAACATCCCGTGTATTTGTGGTACCCACAAAGAAAACGAATTAATAGAATAGCGAGTACAGAGTGTTCATGGATTGAAGGTTGCTGTGATAGTTCAGTTTGTCCAAAAGCTCTAAGAATACTTGATTCAACTAGGAAGAGAAGGTCTTCAAAATACTTTACCCAAAAGATCAATGTATCCAAAGGGATTTGTAACACGTCGGAAAGGAATTGTTGCCTTTTGGTACCTAAAACAATTCTAGAACCTGGTCTTTATTGGAAGGGGAGGCGGTTTTGCATTGGACTGCTGCGTTGCTTTCACAGGAAGCTTAAGAGGGCTTTTGGATCCCTGTGTAATACTCCCAGGCATGTACATTCTGGGGGGTTTAGAGAGGACGGACATTGTGAAAGTTCCAGCCTCAATCAGAACAATCTGCTCTCAGGATCACGTGAACAAATATGCTTGTATTTTAAGGCAGCGCCTATATTTCTGATTATAAAGGGGTTTCTGTTGCCCTTCTGAAAAAAAAAACATAAATGGCCGCACGATTTAAAACCAAAACAAAGCAATCGCCGGCCAATTGCTTCCTTTTACTCCGTGGAGTTGATTGCCAAGGACGGTTGTTGTGAATTAAAAAGAACAACAACAACAAATTCCGAATTCCACTCGCCCTCTTTTATTGGTAGTTGAGCCTGAACCTGTTTTCATTCTATCGGGAATACTGGTGTAGGAAAATGTCTGTAAAACCGCAAGATCAGGCTTAGGACAGTCCTGTCTGCAGACAAAGGGGGAAGGATCTATTCTAACAACCGCAAGCACAGATATTGAGACTGAGGACCACAGGTTTATGATAAATGGATACACAGGTAAGCAATTGCATGACAAAATGGAACCTTTAACCATAGGTCTGCATTATCGCCTTTAGTCAGAGACTAAGTGTAATTTATTAGTCATCGGTGATCTGACTGCAAAATATGTCTAGAAATATGTTTCCATCTAGTTTAGAGCAGTATTGTCTTAAGTATATGCTATTTTTTCGGAAACTTACACACTTCCCAAACGTTCGGGAGAATTTGTTTGCCCCGGTCCTGTTTTTGGTTGTTTTCAAGTATTAAATGACAGTTAAACAAATAAAAGAAAATAACTTTTTCATGTACTGTTACTGCCAGAGTATTATGGGGCATCCTATTAAATCTCTGACTTCGACTGGTGGGCAGAATGTAGCCGGGTTGATCTGTACTCTACACATTGAAATAGATTCACCGGTAAGGGAGCCTCCACATAGGGTTCTTAAATGCACTTAGCAGATGATCTTCCATACTCACCTATTTCCTCAGCCTTTGACTCATATATATCATTTGCTCCTGTATTGCTGTCCGCGCTACTGTGGTTTTATTTATTTCAGTCACACGCGCTGTTACAGTGCTATTTGCCATTCATATACCACGAAAGTTTTCTTTACGTCTATTTCCATAGTCTGATCAACTTGTAAATGGGCCAGCGTGGTAAGCGAGGGAATGTGTACTGGATACTTGCATCTAAAACTAAGAAAATACAAACAATATTCATGCCTATTTTGGCTACTAAAAGTGAATGGATCCCACAGAAACATGTTTAAACCTTAACTCAACTTCTTGCTATTTAAAATAGCACCTTCCACTACATGCAAAATCCGTGCTTTAAATAACTTTCTACCTTTTAAAATGCATGAACTATGGAATAGCGTTTCCGATTACCCTTATCGAAACTAGCAAAATACAATATCCAAGCTTTGTGTTGGATACCAGAAGAAGGCAGTGCCGGACAAAATCTGAACAGAAGTCTTTCTATCTCTTAGGCAGCTAACTCTTCCTTCATTTTAGATGCTCATCCATATTTATGCAGAACAATGAACAGAAGGAAAGAAAGTTGTTTTGTCAATTGCGTGTGCTCTGCTCGATCAGAACGTAAAGGCAGTGAACATTTTTCTTAGCTGTATGCCTCCAAGCTGCTGGCCTGCCAAGTTAGTCAGCTGAATCCAATTACTGCAAGCAGCATTTCATTTGGCTCGATGGAAGCACTCACTTATAACTTCACCTAAAATTTCAATAATACCTATATTGGGTCCATGCCTGGATAGTTCTAAAGATTTCCTGAGGTTTATCTTTGGCAACTTTTTATCAGAGCTCAGTTCTATTTCTCTGACGAAGCTCCACTAACGACAGCACAAAGCCAACGTGTTTAAGCATCAGAGCCTTAGAAACCCAAACTTCGGATGTTGTTCGAGTTAGGATCAAAGAGATGTCTTTGTAAAATGGGCTCCAAAGAGACCCATTTCTAGAATCAGGATGGCATCACTGAGCTGCTGGTGAGGCGGTAGTGCCGCTGCAAAAAGGATCAGAAGTCGATATATAATTAGACACAAAATGAAAACTTACCAGGTCAATCAACAGCGGATAACAATGACTTGATAACAATATTATGATCTCTCCGGCCAGAAGCTAAGGTGTGCCGAATTTATGCTTTCTTCTTACACACTGTAAAATACTATTTCTAATGAACTCCGTTCTAAAAAAAATAAATAAAGCGCTTAAAGTTGACGTACGCCCACGTGAATATATTATATAAGACGTTACCGGGACAGGCCTTGGACCGAGAACCTGGTAGAGCATCGTGTGTAATGATGAGGCTCCACTTCCCAAACTTCAGTTTGCCAGCCTAAATTAAGGTGAATTGGAAGGGGAATGCTGCACCATACTGGGTTTGGATAGGGACAGAGAAGATTTGGTGGAAAGTTGCAAGCTCTGTTATGTTGTGAGCTATTGGAGGCGCTTCCGTTGGTTGTTCATTAAGTGGTGAGTTATTGCTATACAAGCCAAAGGTCATTTCAAAGGCTTATGGTTGCTAGATATCGTCTTTATAATGACCCGGGCTTCTTTGTGGGGGATTTTCTGGCACGAATGTTCTCAGACTCCTTAGTCGACACATTGCAAAAGGGAAACGCAAAATGTTCCGTTTGAGCCCCAAATATTTGTTGTGCAGATGCAGCAGGCGAAGTGTCTATCTTAGTTTTCTGTGCGTCTTGACTAGGGAATGTAAAGGGGAGCTGCAAGTAATTTGTGTGCCTCTTTCCTTAAACCGTGGATCAGGAGAAGGGAAGGGGCAGAGCTGTGCACTGGTGTTGTGCCTGGGTTTTACTTCTTGTGACAAACCCGAGATAACCACAGCTATCCATAATGTATGAGCGCCGTGGTAATGGCGCCGGGGTCTTTCTAGTAAAATTTCCATTCTTCTTAGTGTGATGGTTAGACTTGTGCATGCTCTTCCTTACCTATGCTACATGCCTGCCGTTATCACTGACTCTGCACAGCGCGAGATGCATTTAAATCCTTTTGCTGAGGGGGGAAAAGTTACATCACAATTGCCATGTTTGCACTTCCTCTTCCTAAGAGGCAAAGAGCATTGGTACTGTAGCTACTAACTTGGGGAGGTGCTGGAAGTGTTCAGGAAGCCGTGAGAATGTGGAACTGGTTTTTATTTCGATCCGAGTTGGAGCTATTTTGTCCAATGTTCCGCCCAAATGGTTACAAGGCTTTGGGGCTCTAATTACGTGAGCGCTACCCTCCCGCGCTGTATGCACTGTGTTGTCTGGAAAAGTCTATCAAGGCCTCTGTAAAGTTTTGCCGAGGAACCGTATAAAAAAACCAAAGGGTTTTCCAAGTGTGCTTAGTATATAAATGTGAAGCACCTGTGACTTGTAAAGTGAAAGAGCTGATGTGGAATTGGAGGCAAAGAGAATTGCTACCGAACAGGCGTGAATTTATTATAAAATGTATCAAGAAAGAAGTACACAACAAAACAGCTTCCACTGAAAGTTCTCACTTTTGTTTCAGGCACGTCCCAACGGATTTTCCAAAGGGCTCCGAAGATCCTACAAAAAGAGTTAAAGTCAAAATTCAAGAAAAAACATAAGTGTGGTGAGTTTTTATTTTCGTCTCTATAGATTTGCCACCTCTCTTGCTACAGAAGTAGTTGCCACGAGTAATTTACCATATGTAAAGAACAAAAATGCTTGAAAGTGTATCATTTTAGAGTATGGTAACAGAGGTTACCTGCTAACTGATCATCGATTTTCAAATCTATTTCTGCTTAATAACGTTGTCAGTACCTCACACACAAAGTATGTTATTACTGTAAAAGCTATCTCACCCAAAGAGCAGCATTTAAAATGCTCTCGCCCCATTTAAAGTAGCTCATTATTACGCCTATTTAAACAGCAATAGAAAACAAAATAAGCATTTAATAAAACCACATTCGGACCGATACTGCTCCCGATTCTGTTCCCACCGAATGGGAAGTTGTCAGCACCTTCAGTGGGAATTGGATCGGGCTCTTACAAAGCTCGTAACCTTTGAACGATGCTTTTATGTACGGAAGGCTGGGTACAAATATTAATCTTACAGCTTCAAAACATAGTATTTTAGATAGACCTTTAGTCTCTACAGAAGAATTCTGATATCGGTCAGACAGACAGACCAACATTATGATCCCGATTTACCAGTGCTATTAGGTGGCTCACAGCGTCTTAAATCACTGGAAGAGAAACAGAACATACACCTTTTAAAACGCGGCTCCCTCTGTGAGCCATTGTGTACAATCTATAACAAGAATACATTTCAGTATCAGTGGCAGCCATGATCAAATTACATCAGTCACTCTTTTCCCACAAAAATTGGGGGGAGGGGAAGCTAATTTCCTGGAAGTCTTCTGGTTGCAGTCTATCCGTCCGCATGGTAAACTCTATTCCAGCAAATCCAAAGATCATTAGTAGAAAGTGATTTGGGGGAGGTGGTAAAATAACAACAGATAAGCACAGAAGGAGTTCAGAAATCCTTGGCAACGTGAAGGAAAATAGCCTGTGCTCTGAGAAAGAAGCAGTAAAGGAGGGAACTGTTTAGCTACTTTATATATATGTCCCCTTCCAGGCTGCAAATAAGGAAAAATTGCGGAGTAGGGAATTCTTTTGCTGGTCTTCCTCCTACGCGCAGCCTGTTCTACCCTTCTGAAAGTGCTAGGTCTTGAGAAGTGTTTTCCTTTTCATTCCTTACTGAAGCGTTTACTGCCATAGTGCTAGCAGTCATAAATTTTGTTACAAACCACAGTGACAGGTGCATTGATATGCACCGTGAGAGCTCCGGCTGCTTAATAACCCCTCCACTGGCCGCTCATACTGCCTTTTATTTATTCGGTATCATATGAGATATTGATCCTAAGCAGAATTAAGTGTAGTGGAAGTATTAGTAGAGAACTGCTTAATATGAATATGTTTGGGTTTCGGATCGAACACAATTGTGAGAGTGGAAACTTGTCAGAATTTGACTTTGCTGTAATTCGGCACACACGTGGGTGTGAGTGTGGGGGTGAGAGCGTGTGAGTGGGAGAATCAGGTATTTTGTCTAACAATCCTGTATCTCTTATACCTAGTCTGACTTCCAGATATAACTGTAGGCTGCATTGTAGCCTCCGGGCATTTGGAAAACAGTGGCAGGACAAAGACCCCTATTACCATATGTGATGTATAACGGTTCAGATGAGGTTAACCTCTCTGACTAGTAGGAAGGGGAACTCGCAACACAGACATGGCTACTTTGTGGTTGCCTGGCCCTAGTGCATTTCAGTCCACCCCCCACAACGCTGGCAAACCATTTGGAAGTTACTTTCCTGCAGAATGTCTTTGGTCAAACGAAGAAGTGTTGAGCCTGTGCTTTGGTGTTACATACAAACACACCGCCTTATGCAGTGCGCTTGTAGAGTCAAAACGTGTAAGGATTAAAAAAAAAAAGATCTAAAAGATGAGCCACCAAACAGTCGAGCATTGTCCGTGTGATTTATGGCCCATTGCCTCCTTTTTAGGTTCAAGCAGAGTTCACAAGCAGTTGGTATTTCAGAAAAGGAATAAGGCTTTTAACAGTTTTTCAGCAATACTGTTTTTTAAGATTTCATGTATTCTTTTGGGAACTATATTTTATTTGGTATATAAAAGAATAGGCATAATCCTGTGTTGTGTTAAGCAAATGCTTCAGCCCAGACTATACCAGAAAACGTAAATAATAAAGGTAGAAAATTATTAACTGTGTGGATGATTTGCAGAAAGTAAATTATAGTCTCGTCTGGATCGTTGTATTTTCTTAGCACTCATAATAAATCTTTCATTATTACTTCCTGGGCCTCTGTTTATTGCATTCTTCAGGGTGGGTTTGGGGCAAAGCCTTTTTCTCTCCCTCTCCCCCCACCACCACTAGTTTCCCAAAATGATATCAGCTCATGTTGATGAAAGAAAATAACTTCTCTGGTAAAGCAATATTTAAGAGGGTATGGGAGGACCTATCAGTTTAAAGTGACTTCGAATTTTTGTTATATTAGTTTAGAATGTGTACTGTATTCTAGTGATAGAAATGTAGCCGTGTTAATCTGGTGTAGCTGAAACAAAATACAGGACTATGTAGCACTTTAAAGACTAACAAGATAAACCATCTTGTTAGTCTTTAAAGTGCTACATAGTCCTGTATACTGTATTCTATTTACTTTTAAAAAGAATAACAATGCTATTTAGTTGTACAAATTACTATTGGGGAAGCAGCAGACAAATAAAATTAAAGGTAACACATTACTATGGCTTTGCACAAATGTTGATTTTGAAGAATAACAATTAACAGAGATTCCTTTAATATTTTAGAACTACTTTCATGTAATAAATAAGTTTAGACAATAAAAAAGACACTTGCAAATATCTCAAGTACTGACTATATTGTCAGGTGAAATATCCCGTAATTTATTTTGGCAGAAGGATAAAAGATGCAAATTTTTAAATGCATAAAAACACGGAGAATACCAGTAGAGAAATAGTAGCAACCCCATCACTGCATTTATCAAAACTACGTGTTAGTTCCTACCTTGCAAAAGATAAAATACAGATTTACATTCAACAAATTGTATACAGCTTTTGTATCTATTCAAAAATATTCATTACCGGGAGAACTTTTCATTTGGATACACTTGCCAGTTTGATGGGAAAATACTGAAATCTGAATTAAGTTTTGCATGCTAACACACAAAACATGATTTATAATGAAAACCAAACCATATTAATGGTCTCAGGTTGATTCGATTGACAATAACTAACAAGAAACGTTGTGTGAAAGATTTTTGAGCAGGGTAAAATTAATCTAAGAGTTAAGATAGAGTAGCTGACCTAAGCGTTTTCTTTATAGTACAAACTTAAGTTAGTGAATGGCGTTAGTTATACTTTAACTTCTTAGGAATCTTTCGCAGGGAAAAGAGACAGAATTTACAATAGAGATGGAATTTTCTGTTTTTTTTTAAAGGTTCTAATTCTGGTTCAATCCATCATGTCATCTGGGGCCTCTTTCACACTTTTGCGCCTGCGTATACAGAAAAAAAGATTGGGGGGGAAGGGGGAGGGAAAGAAGTGAGGTGGGTTAATCTTTATACAGTACCAAAATGGTACAGGAGGGTCACCAAATATGCATATTATGGAAATACTCATA